ATACACATTTTAATATTTAAAAATAAATCTTTTTTACTAATAAATAAATAAATAATAAATTCTTGCTAATGAATTTATCAGTATACAAACAGAAAAGTGAAATATTCTCAATGGTATGGACAGCCAATGGCAGCATTAATGTTAATATAAAACTAGGCAATTTTAGGCCTGTAGTATCATATTATAAAGTTTGTGAAGTCATCTGCTGCATTATTTTCAGCCAGTCTTCCCCAATCTGCTGCCCTCCAGTGCAATTGGAAATTCAACTCCTAAAATTCACCCCTCTTAGTCAACCATGGATGTCCCAAAATTTAAAGTATAGCCCTGGTGCATCACATACACAGTTGCAGTAGCCTCTCATGTCACATATTTAGAAATCATAGTTAAAATCATGTTATCATCCTCTTTATAACCTCCCAAATGAGCAATTAAAAGCTTTTATAGATAGCTTTGGGCATACTGATTAGCCAAGTCTGGAGAAAATAATTATTCTTGCACAGATCCTATGTAACAAAACATTTTTTGCATGAATAAATTGTTCCATAATGAATAAAAGGATTTTTTTCCTAATTTCTACTGTAGCCATTACAGCTCCTTTTTTCTTTGTTGGATATAGAAACCACTCTCTCACCAGCTCCTTTGGGTGTACAAGTACAGAAGCTCTTAAACAAACTAAAGTTATACTAAATAGAGCTATATTGCAAATAAAATTGCCTTATTTAAAACACACACACAAGAAAAAAGTGTTGGCATTTAACCTGAAATACAATTTTAATGTGTACAAATGTTTAATATTAAACTGGTTACTAAATGGATTTATGAAGCTGTGATTACGGCTGTAACTGTTACATTTGGGGTTTATAAATGCAAGTATTTCCCTCAAGCAGTTGGCTGCAGCATAGGGATGACATATGGGCCATGGGAATCCAAAAATTAAAGACGCCACTGCTATCTCCTGTTCTGGTGTGAGGGACAGTGATATCAGGAAAATGAGAATGATAAATGTTTAAACAATCTTACGTATTTTGCCAAGTGCAACGTGTCATGATTTTGAAAGTAAAAGCAAGCTTTAAGCTTAGGTGCTTGAAAGCAAGCAGCAGAGTAATAGTTACTGATATTGGTGTTAAGGCGTATTTTTTTCCTTTCCTTTTTGCACACCACAATTTTGCTCAACTTTCTAGTACAGTAAAAGGTTTTGCTGTCCACAGAGATGTAATACCCAACCAATGGTTGCATCCGAAGTAATCCAATTTACAATCAAGCAAACAATGAGCAACATAAAGGAGCTACGGGTTTCCCTTAAACTCCAGGTTGACCCTGTTTTCGTTCCCTATAGGAAAACGATACTAAATGTGCAGCTGGTAAACAAGAGGCGACTAGAAGTCAGCCCGCCCTTTCCACACAGTAATGCGCTGGACTCATAATCCTTTAAGATTGCACTAAATTAAAAGCAAAGTCCGATGTAAGACTGCACACATCCTGGAAACTTTTAATCTTTACAGAGCCGTATTCGTTTTTGATAGTATAGCTTGAAGGATATAAATCCTGCTTAAGGAAAAGTAAATACAGAAGAAAAAAATAACATGCCCCCCCTTTCAAAACATAAATAACTTGAGACTCCTTAACAAAGCACAAATGTCTCTCCCTGTATAAGCATAAACACGTGGGCAAACATTTTCGAAACAGCTTCGTCCATACAGGCTAAGCGAAAGACTGAACTACGCTTAATCCCTTGTTTTGCAATCTCGCACGAATCTGCCACTGCCCATATCACTGCACAAGCAGGAAAGGACCAGAATTCGTGGCACCCGTTCAGGCCCTTATTGTTATTGCGAATCTTCAACTTGGAAAAGCTATGCGCGCCAGGGAGAACTCTGTCGCTTTAAGCCTGAAACTATGACATCATCTGACCACAACTCCCAACAAGGACACTCCGCTCCGTTTCCAGACTCCTCCCATTGATCCTCAGGCTCAGCAACGCGTGACATCATAGGGATAAGGGGGCGCCTCATTGGTGGAATGGCCTGAAATAACCACGCCCTCCGAGTTAGAGTAGAGCCAATGGAAAGAGAGGAGTTTGTCTCCATGTGGAAACCATGTGGTTCTAAGGAGGAGGAGGAGCTGAGACTGATTATACTGTAAGCTAGCCAGGCGGATCAGAGTGCAATGAAGGCAGCGTCGTATGTTTTTGCCTCGGTGAAACTTTAAAAAGGATGTGGGGGTTGGGACTTCGAGAGGCTGTTAAAATGTGCATGCCTTGTTTACGTTTTTAAAAAGATTTGTGCTGGTTGTTCCCACGAAAAAAAAGTTTTACGGAAATTCAAACGCGTGGGTTGCCCTCAACCTAAGTCATTGCAACTCTGCTTGAAATGCACAGATGTGGAACAAGATAAACTTAGTATCCGCCTGCTGGTCTGTAAACGTGTAAAATCCAGGAGTTTTGTTCCTCGATGGGGAGGGGTGCCAACGTTACTTTGGGACGTGGAGATTACACACGCTGGCAGCCCAGCGGGGTTGCAGACGGTGTTTTCCATGGAGGTGTTATTGCTGAAACCAAGACAAGGCACTTCCTCACTATTTTATTCAAATGATTCCGAGAGCATCCAGAGTTACAGATTCGAAATTGATGACATTGGTGGTGCTTATCAGTATCTAGATTTCGAAAGCCTTTCTGTAGGGGACGCCTAGTGAATTCAGATAAATTAGGCGGCTACGGAGGAGACCAGTGTCTCGGACATAACGATTTCTAACACTAAACACCTCAAGTAACAAACATATTTTCTTGGAAACAGAGTTACTACTGAGTTCATTTATCATTTGCCCCGCCACCCATGTTAAAATAATTAGAGGCTGAGTTTCCTACAGAAAGTAGGTAAGGAGCTGTGCTGTAGTTTCGTGGCTTTGACTTGGCTTGAAGTGAGGAATCGCGAACGCTGCGCGCACGTTTGTTTGTCTCTCTTTGTTTTCTGCAGCAGCGAAACGGGGCAGCGCGGGGAAGTCAGAAGAAGGGGAAACCGCCTAAGACCCAGCTAAGCCCTCGGTGGGGAGAGCGACGCTTTTGTGCACGTCTGGCTTCGGGGAGCGGGGAAAACAACGGAGGCAAAGCTGACCTAGTTCTATCCGCACCATCTCCAGTTCTAATGAAATGAGATGGCCGGTATAAACTGATTAGTCCCACTTCGGCCGAGTTGCTAGAGAAGGACTACACGGCACCACCTCCCCGCCCCCGCTCCCTTGGCTACCTGGCTAGTTCGCTCTTTGCCTACGTGACTTCCCGGGGTGGGGGGGCGGACGGATACCTCCATTTACTTGGCAGCCGGTCTTCCTCGAGCGATCGCGTTGCGCGGAAGCCAAGGCCCTGCACCTCAATGCTAAAAGTCAGGGCGACGGAGGAAGAAGTGGATTGACCAGAAAGCGAAAGACGCCGTTTAAAAATACTCCTATTCATGACAGCGAGCTTGCTGGCCATTGCAAAACTGAAGGGAGGGGGGAGGCTTTGTGAAGTCTTCGCACTACCCCGTCCTCCCGGAAACAATACCCACATATCCACTTATTCATGAAAAAGCTGGGAAGAGGAACGGGAGAGAGAAAGCGGGCGGTCAACAAAGGCTAAGCTAGTTGAACTGCAATGGAAATTTACACTCCGGGGAGGGAGTGACGGGGGGGGGGGCCCCTATTTTCTGGGCCGGATTTGCTCCCTGAGGCCAAGCCCCAACGC